AATAAACTGCAGTCGACAGCAGCTGCTTCCGTTTTCTTCTGCGTCCCAACAGCGTCGACAAGCTCGCTAAATAACAGACACTCTACTAAAACACGACAACCCGCAGACTTGACTTCAGCTTGGTCAAGGTCACGCTGGCAGACAAGGTTATTTTACGCGCATAGGCCATCCGGCTTTTTCACATATAGTGCCTCGTGTTTATGTCCCCCAGACGGAGGAAACAGTCCACTCGCAGAAACTTGCCTTGTAGTCTAATAAATCGATCCTAACATCTGACTGCTTTCTTTCATCAGACGCAATACTCTTAGTGTAGTGGTTATAGTAAATCACACATCCTTGGCTGCTGCACTCTCTCTCTCTCATTTGCTCAAAGTTAACCGCTGCAACGAATAAGATGGCGAAAAGAAAAAGAGATGAGGAGTATCGTTCATTTCAGGATGAATGGGCCGAAGAATTCGCCTTTGTGGAGACGGCAGGTTATACGGGGTGTCTAATTTGCAATGATAAAACATCGATCAAACGGTGGAATGTAAAGCGTCACTTCGACACACACCATGATATCTTTGCATCAAAGTACCCTGCGGAAGATAGCAGAAAGATAGCAAGCCAAAAACTAATGAACAGGGTGCAAGCCAGCCAGCAGCAACCCCGTGTATGGACCCAGCAAGGTGACTATAACTCCGCTAGCTTTGCTGGATCTTTAGAAATAGTGAGAAATGGAAAACATTCACAGATGGCGAGAATGCTAAATAGTTCATGCTGGATGTAGCCAATAAAAGTTTTGATGATTTTCCAGACAAAGACAAGCTAATCAAACGGACACAAGACATGCCTCTGTCGGCAAAAACTGTTCATGAGCGTACCATCGTAATGGCAACCTACGTGGAGGAAACGCAAGCGAAAGACATAAATGCAGCGCCGTTACCTTCCCTAGCTTTGAATGAGTAAGCAGACGTAAGCCATGTGGCGCATTTCGGTTTGATTGCAAGATATGCTGCTGGCGATACACTGCGCGAACAAAGTCTTACTGTTCTGCCAATAAAAGGGTCCACAAGAGGTGAGGATTTATTCAAGTCGTTCATGGAGTTCGTTCAAGAAAAAACAAAACAACTATGGGTAAACTTATCGCAGTGTGTACTGATGGTGCTCCATGTATGGTGGGGAAAAACAAGGGATTTTTGGCGCTTCTCTGTGAACGTGAAAATAGACCCATCTTACGTTTCCATTGCATTCTAAACCAGGAAACAATTTGTGCTCAGATGTGTGATGGGCAGCTTTGCGAAGTGCTGTTTTGCGGCTTGCCTGAATGAAACACGGACCTTCCTTGAAATGAAGGACCTTAAGCATCATGAGCTAGCCGAAACTAAGTGGATCCTAATGTTTTATTATATCGTGGATATGACAGAACATCTGAATCAGCCCATCTTCAAAATGCAAGGCAATGGGAATACAGTGTTATCCATTCAACAAGCCGTGTTTGCTCTCGAAAACCAGCTGGATCTCTTTATCATGGATCTTGAAACAGATCATTTACTACGTTTTGAAAAACTGAGACAATATAAATATACATGCGCAGTAAGTGAACCCACTCAAAATGTTGATCTCTACCAGCTAGCTGGCTTCATATCCAGTCTCCTACAGTCGTTCAAAGCACGCCTTGGCGAATTCCGTGAGCCAACTCATCTTTTTAAGTTCATCACCCATCTAACCGAGTGTTCACTGAGCACAGCCGACCTAAGTTATATTCCAGGGGTCTCCGTTCGAGATTTCGAAGAAGTTGCTGACATGTAGGCTTCAGACATGTTGGTGAATAAGTTCAAGTCACTCGACGAAGATTTGGAAAGAATCGTACGACATAAAGCGGAGTTGGCAAGCCAGCACATGTGGACGGAAATTAAAAAAACTTCAACCCGAAGACCAGCTGATAATCAAAATTCAGAACAAGCTTCCTATCAAATACTGCACACTGCAGCGTGTAAGTATTGCTGCATTGACCTTGTTTGAATCCACATATGCATGTGGGCAGTCCTTCTCACATCTTAAATACATCAAGTCCACCCTACGATCACGTCTAACGGATGAAAGCCTCAACGCTTGCTTAAATCTTAACCTCACCAACTACCAACCAGACTACAAAGCCATAAGGGA